GTTGAAGAGGTGCTGCAGAATCCCACAGAGCTGCTCTGCACAGGCCTTCAGTACTCTGGGGCTGACACCATCTGGACCTGAAGCATTGTTCCTGTTCAGTCTCTCCAGCTGCCTCTTCACCTGATTTCTAGAGACAGATAGGTGGGAGGGGGAGGTAAATGGGGCAGCGGCATCTCCTGACTTGGTTAAAGACAGATTTATGGAACCAGAAGAGTCCATGACTGCATTAGAGGACAAAGAGCTGGCGTGTGACTGGAAAATGTTGGACCAGAGGAGGATGGGATGTCGGATTGGCTGGGGACAAGTGAGGAGGATGCTGGGTTTGTTTTTGAACTGAACCTATTGAAGAACTTGTTCAGCTCATTGGCTGTGTCCAGGCTGGCATCTGTGCAATCCTTCCTCTGCTTAATGCCTGTGATCTTATTCATCCCTGGCCAGACATTGCAGATATCGTTCCTCTGTAGTTTGTTCTCCAGCTTCTTCCTGTATGCCTCCTTGCTGTCTCTGATCTTGATCTTCAGTTGCTTCTGTATACTCCTCAATAATTCCCTGTCTCCCTCCTTGAAGGCTCTCTTTTTCTCATTTAGCAGATTCTCCAGTTCACTGGTGATCCAGGGTTTGTTATTAGTGAAGCATCTCACTGTTCTGGTGGGTATGATGTTTTCCACACAGAAGTTAATATAGTCAGTGAAACGTCCAGTCATGGCATTGATGTCCTCTTCATATCCTTGGCAGAGAGTCATCCAATCTGTGGTCTCAAAACAACCCTGCAGGGCTTCTTCAGTGTCCTGTGACCATTTTCTCCCAGTTCTTCTTGTCACAGGTTGCCTCTGAACAAGTGGTTTGTATTCTGAGCAGAGAAAAACAAGATTGTGATCTGATTGTCCCAGAGGAGGTCTTGTTTTGGACATGTATGCCTTCTTTACATTTGCATTACACAAATCCAATGTCTTGTTTTTTCTAGTGGAGCAGCTGACAAACTGTTGAAAAGTTGGAAGTGTAGCAGAGAGCGAGGCATGATTAAAATCACCAGATATAGCCACAAATGCATTGGGGTGCTGGGTTTGTAGCTTAGTGACAACGGAACTGATGGCATCACATACACTTTCAGCAATGGCTGAAGGTGGAATATAAACGGTTGCCAAGACAACACTGGTGAACTCTCTTGGCAAATAATATGGGTGACAACTTATTGCCAAGAGTTCAACATCTGGGCTGCAGAGACGACATTTCACTGAAACATGACCTGGATGGCACCATCTGTTGTTAACAAGCACTGCCACTCCACCTCCTTTTCTTTTCCCGCTCCTCTTCAGATCTCTGTCTGCTCGTACAGTCAGGAATCCTGGCAGAGAGACGCTGGAATCGGGGATATGGTCCTGCAGCCACGTCTCAGTGAAACACATAACACTGCACTGCCAAAACTCTGGCTGAGTCCTTGAAAGGGCTTGGTGTTCATCCATCTTGTTGGCCAGTGATCTCACATTGCCCATTGTGATCGATGGAAGAGATGGTTTGAATTTCCTCTTTCTCTATCTCCGTTTTGCTCCTGCTCTGCACCCACGCTTCTTGCGTTTTAGCTCATTTACGATTTGTGGCTTCAGTTGAGGTATCATTTCAGCCTTTACAATGTTAATCAGCTGCTCCCGATTGTAAACCAGCTTGTTGCCATGGTTACACATCATAACAAATCCTCAAAAAGTGAAGAAAATAGCAGTAAAAATCATCTAAGCTTCACAGCACCAGAAACAGAAAAGTAAAATGTCCAAAAAATACAGTTTTTCTTGAGAAACTAGAAGAAAAAATGTCCAAAAAAAGGCTAAACTTACATATAGTCAACAGAGCTACTCCAACATGCAGTCACCCAGAGCAGCGCAGTTCCAGAAGGGGCAAGGGGCATCTAAGGGGCAATCAAGCATGCTGTTTTATCTAAAAATTATCCAATCTGCTGAAGGATTTTATTTAGTGATTTCCACTAGAAAATTTGCTGACGCAGAAAATGATAATCATGAAAGTTTCTGAAAATAAAACCCTTTGTCCAAATATGCCACAACTTGACACCATTTTATTCAAGAGAGAGCGTTCCATTTTATGATCTACTCAAGGTTGCAGGTGGTCCCCAGACTTTTGTCTGTGCTGAAGCTGTGGTGTCTGTAAGACTACATTTGTTAAATAAAAAGCATCTTTAAAATCCCAATAACACAGAGTAGTATAGTTTAAACTTTGTCTAAGAGTCATAACTGTATGTCAGCATAAAATGTTTAAGTAATCACTTTTAACGTATAGGAGTTGGTGTTGGGATCCTCAACTTGCCTTGGACCCAGGCAAGGGGTCTTTAAGGAAAAGAGTTTGGAACCACTGCCCTTCATGCTGGTCTGTTTCTGTGTTAAAAGGTGTGCAGGGAGGTGGATTGAGGGGAAAACACACAGACAGATGAGGACTAAACAAGGTTTAATGTTTAATTACAGAACGGAACAACAATTTCAACACACATTTGAACTCATCCATTTATAAAACTCCAATGACACACCCTAAAGTGTAAAACAAGGAGAAAAAAAAGAACAAAAACCTACAACTGCTATTTATTTATTGCAAATGAAGATCTGTATGGTGTTTAGTATATTTTTCATGTGTGTATGCAGGTGAGAGTTTGGGAAGGGGGGTTCTAGCTTGTCTTGAATGCAATTGCACATGGGTCCTTAAGGAAAATATGTTGGGAGCCACTGATCTAGAATATTGTATTTATTCTTCGGGGACCAGATAAACAAAAGCTGAGTTTAAATCAAAATTAGTCAACTACAATTGTAAAATTCTGCACATATCTAGAGAAATAAGTAATTTGCATGTTGCTTTACCATTAACACACTGCACCTCCAACCATGAGTCTGACAAGCTTATCAAGTTTGCAGAGGACACCACCGTCATCGGACTCATCTCTGACGGGGAAGAGTCTGCCTACAGAATGCAATCGAACAGCTGGTGTCCTGGTGCAGCCACAACAACCTGGCGCTAAACACCCAGAAGACAGCGGAGGTTGTTGTGGACTTTAGGAAGCACACAACCCCCTTTCCCACATAAGCCTGTCTGACATCCCCATCACGATGGTGGACTCATGTTGATTCCTGGGCATCACAATCGCCCAGGACCTCAAGTGGGAGCCCACCATCACCTCCATCATGAAAAAGGCCCAGCAGAGGATGAACTTCCTGAGGCAGTTGAAGAGATTTCATCTGCCAGCACAGTTGATGAGGCAGTTCTACGCCACAGTCATCGAGTCCATCCTCACCTCATCAGTCACCGTGTGGTACACTGGAGCCACCATCAGGGACAAGAAGAGGCTGCAGCGTGTTGTACGCTCTGCTGAGAAGGTCATTGGCAGCTAACTCCCCTCTATACAGGAGCTTTACACCTCCAGGACATTGAGGCGTGCAGGTCGGATAACAGCTGGCCCGCGTCACCCAGACACAATTATTTTTGAACCTCTCCTGTATGGCCGGAGGCTCAGATTCATTCGAACCAGAACCTCACCATAAGAACAGTTTCATTCCCTTTGCTGTTAGACTCATGAACGACAATACTAGGGCTGCCCACTCCAGTCGCTTTGTTCCAGTCACATGACCCTGTGTTGTGTTTGTACCTGAGCTGATCTGCTCTGATTAGTACGTACACAGTAGCCATTTCTCTAAGTATTGCCACTTTATATTAATATTTTATCATGGTTATATTCTGTCTTCCTTTGCTTATCTCTTATTTTTATCTTCCTCCTCATCGTCGTCGTCTTCCTCTGCTTATCCGGGTCCGGGTCGCGGGGGCAGCATCCCAACTAGGGAGCTCCAGACCGTCCTCTCCCCGGCCTTCTCCACCAGCTCCTCCGGCAGGACACCCAAGGCGTTCCCGGACCAGATTGGAGATGTAACCTCTCCAAAGTGTCGACCCGGGGGCCTCCTGCCGGCAGGACATGCCTGAAACACCTCCCTGGGGAGGCATCCAGGAAGCATCCTGACCAGATGCCCAAACCACCTCAACTGGCTCCTTTCGATCCGGAGGAGCAGCGGCTCTACTCCGAGTCCCTCCCGAATGTCCGAGCTCCTCACCCTTTCTCTAAGGCTGAGCCCGGCCACCCTACGGAGGAAACTCATTTCGGCCGCTTGTATCCGCGATCTCGTTCTTTCGGTCATTACCCAAAGCTCATGACCATAGGTGAGGATTGGGACGTAGATCGACCGGTAAATCGAGAGCCTGGCTTTCTGACTCAGCTCCCTCTTCACCACGACAGATCGGCTCAGCGTCCGCATCACTGCAGAAGCCGAACCAATCCGCCTGCCGATCTCCCGATCCCTCCAACCCTCACTCGTGAACAAGACCCAGAGATACTTAAACTCCTCCACTTGAGGTAGGACCTCTCCCCCGACCCAGAGTTGGCAAGCCACCCTTTCCCGGTTTTATCTTTCTTTCTATCTTTTTGTTGTTGTTTTTTTTTTTGCACCAAGTACTGCAGCAATTTCCTAATGTGATTCTCGCACATGTGACAGTTAAACCCTTTTGATAATGATTATAAGTAAATGGGGGTGTTAAAGTAAGGATAAAACCATGCAGTCTGTTAAACGTGAGTCTTAACTTCCCCAAACCAATAATAAATAAATAAATGTAAAAAAGCAAAAAGCTGCAACTCAGTGATAGCATCCATTGCAACCACTGTGGGTGCACCGATGTGTGTGCGGTTTATCTGATGGTGTTCTCCTTAGCTACAGACATATGGAGCGGCTGGCTAACTGAGTATAAACCCTCAGTTATCTTATTGCTGCTCACAAAATAATATCTAGGAATTCAGAATATCTCTCCTGATGCAGACGAACTCACATCACTTCAGTGTGTTGATAAAGCCAATGTGTTAAAAACCTGCCATGCCTGGATTTGAAGCTCAGCCGTGACAGGAAAAATACCCATTTACAGGTTTTAGGTGTCAGCCGTGAGGTGCTGTATAGAATGATGCTTCTTACCGTTACTGCTGTTGTCGTCTACCAGGATTATCTCTTTAAGAAGGTGGGAAGGTGTCCTGTTGATGGCAGAGTTTATGGACCGCAGGATGACAGACAAGGCTTCGTTCACAAAAATGAACACAATGCTCACTTGAGGGAGGTTCAGAGGATAAGAAATGTTTCTGCACCTATAGGAGAAAATAGAAAATTCGCTTTCAGGTATTTGCCTGATAAAAAAAATAAATGAATAAATAAAGAATTTAGAATCCTAGCTTGTTGGCTGAGAAGATCAAGATGTGACATTCATTATTTAACATACAGAACTGTTGGCATGAATAATTTTTATATGCAGACTATTAAAACTCAACAATCAGCATGTTTTATAGTGTTGAATGCCACATAAATAGGTCAGAAAAAAGGAGGTAAATAATTGATTGTGTGGTAAAGGGTGGCACGAGTCCTACTCCTTTTTTGTAGCCTCATTAAAATTGATGCAATAAAAATAGACGAATATGCTTAAAGTAACCAGAGTTCGAATCACGGGGGAGCTAAGGGGAGCCCAGTTCTCCTAAAACGGTGATGGGCTCCCCTTGAAGCCCTCAACCCAGGGGGAGCCCGAAAAAAAATCCAGTTTCCACCTATTTTATATTATTTATGGACTTCGCTTGCCGGGAATTCTTTTCAGCGGAGAGGACAGAGAGCAGCAGAGCGTTGATACGCTCTGCAGGCAGCTGCGTCCTGCGCATGGCCACAGTAAAATGATCAAAGTGGCGCTACCAAAAAAAGAAAAAATGAACACATGATCCTTCATTTCCACTCATGTTCTGTGCTGCGGAGCTCATCACCCGTGCTTCGGTGATTTCACCTCACTAGTGCGGCCGCTCAGTGCTCTCTCCGCTATTTTTGTGGTCGGTAGATTCCTTTCTTCCTGTTTCTTCCTGTTAAAAGGGAGTTTTCCTCTCCACTGTCGCTGCATGCTTGCTTAGTATGAGGATTGCTGTATAGTCACTGACACTAGTCAGTGACTTGATGCAATTTGCTGGGTTCCTTATATAGGAAACATTATTTCTGATTGGCTTAATGAACTGTGAATTGGAATGTTTATTATGTGAAGTGCCTTGAGATGACTCTTGTCGTGATTTGGCGCTATATAAATAAACTTGAATTGAATTGAATTGAATTGATCTGCTGAGTTCAAAAGTAACTCATGAGGTGAAAAAGTAGGAAGCCACGTAACAGTTTTTTCTGGAGGATTGAGAGAAGATGCAGGAAGAAAAGAGACAGACGGGACAGGAAAATAGTCAAATAAAAGACAAGAAAGCAAAACAAAAAAAGCACTTGAGAAGGGAAATGAAGTACATTTATCCCACTACACCTTTTCTTTTTTTTACCTTTATAATGTAATAATTTAAAAGCATGTCATATTTATACATTTATTACAATTCAGACCACCTTCAAAACTCCCACACCCAGGGCTGTTTCAAGGCACTTTGGGGGGCCAAAGTAGGAGACCCCCAATGAGATCCCCGGAAGCCTCTGTGTATTTCCTACCCTGAAGCTGACATTCTTTTAAACATTATATCTCCAAATAAAACTATGTCAGTAATAATGTCCTGCTTTAAACCTTTCATCTGATTGTTCTGACTAATTTGTGTTGTAACTGTGACATTTAATTTATTCCCATCCAACCTGCTAAATGTCACGCTGCCGCTCATAATTCCCTTCCTCTCCTTCCTGCTGTATTTACAGAAAGCTGCAGCTCCGGAGCTGGAAATGGGAAACAGAGATGTAAGGCACGTGTGATTAATGTCTCCCCTGCAACAGTTTTGGATCAGCATACGGCGTCGGTATTAGTGGGAATAAATGGTCCGTAGGGAGTTCAGCACAGCTGAGAGAAATGCCCTGAAGATCTTTAAGCTGCGTAAACTTTCACATGAGGATATTTCCTGAGCCGCTCCTGTAACCTCAGTGATGTGAGCGTGTAAGCTGGCTGGGAAAACGGAACCAGAGCCATCATGGGGGAGTGTCAACAGTTTCCACCAAGCATGAATGTGGTGCTTTATGACCTAGATGTTCACAAAGGCTAAGGAATGTTTCTTTTTTTTTCCCACAAACAAGGGAATTCTGGAGGTTTCCACAGCAGGAATCAGGCGTTGAACAGACCATAGTGATGTATTTTATGCCCCCTAACAGCCCTGTTAGAGAGGTATCACTTCTAATAGCATTTTTCCATTACGGCTGGAAATCACACGGCCTTTCACAGCTTTGTTTTCCTCTGAGAACAACATCCCCTGCAACAAGCAGGAGAAATAGACCCATTTTAAAACAGACCATAAAAGAATGTATGTCTGTTATATTTCAAATATAGAAATTGCACTTTACTGAAACATTCCTCTAAATTACACACACACACACACACACACACACACACACACACACACACACACACACACACACACACACACACACACACATATATGTGTGTATATAGACATTTATATATGTACACATATATGTGTACATATATACTATCTGCTTGTATCAACTAGTCGACTTCACTGCTTTGTGTGTGACTTTTTATGCCTTTCATAGACTAGTCGCCGTCACGTGATAATGACCGATAAGATGCAGTCCTCGGAAAAGACAGAAGGTGACGAGCCCTCCCGACGAGCTGTGCCAGAGCGTCGGTATCTGGCGCCCGTGGTAAAACGGACATTGGAATGAATTGTGACCTTTACCCTCTTGCTATTTAACCTTCCCCTCACCCCCATCCTAACCTTAACCAGCTTACACATGCAAAGCTTTGTTTTGCATTTCATCGTTCCTCTCAAACACGCTTAACAGAAAATTTAGACTGACATACTGGGTAAGGGTTAAGGTGAGGGTGAGGTTAAATAGCAAGTTAAGTTTACAATTCCGTGAAATCTCCGTTTTACCGCGGGCGTCAAAAGGCGACGCGCTGTGCCAGAGTGTCGCCTCCCGACGTGCGTCAGAGAAAAAAAAACGCTTGGTCACCCATCGTCAGTTTTAGTTGCTTCAGGTGTGTGACGTCATCAACGACTAGTCAAAGTCGACTAGATTTTCATTACTTGACTGTCGACTAAAAAAAATTAAGTCATGCAGCCCCTAATGTGTACATATTTATGTGTGTGTGTGTGTATGTGCATGATTTTTTTCTGATTGAAAACATAGAAAAATAATTGTCCATTTTTATGAAGAATCAAATATGTTTTAGATGTGATGGAAGTGTTTAAATATGTAATTAGTAGATCAGCTGTTACAAATATTCTCATGGTTTTGATGCCATGACAAAAAGTGACAAAGCAACAGGAAATACAGAAAGCTATTGAATCTGCTTAGAGGCACAAAGAAAATGCAAAGTAAATCTATTTATACTTCTACCTAAAAAGAGCATTTCGATTCTGCAATTAATGAACTAAATGAGGGGTTCACACAGTTATTTTTGTTTAAATCATCTTTCTCCATCCTAAATCTATGACATGGCCAGGGGGAATAAAGTTAGTTGGCACAGAATGAAAATGATATTAGAATAAATAACAGCTTCATGATCCAGCATGGATTTATTTATTCTTTTTAGCTCTAGAACGTACACTTAGTATTTGTTTTCACACATATTAATTATGAAGGGAAACGAAGACCTAAACTTGCTATGATTTATCCCACCTTTGCCATCAACCCAAAAATTTAGGATACTATAAATACACACACACACACACACACACACACACACACACACACACACACACATATATATATATATATATGGCAACACTTAAAAACCAAAAGTGATGGCGCCTGCCTAGGGAACTCGTTACAGGGTTGGAGCCAAAACCGAAAATGCTCTGAGTTCAAATGAATTAGATGATTTGCATCAATTTCCTAAACTAATCGCTGAAGTTCTTAGAGTAGTGCTTTTCCGGTTCTTCCCATTATGTGTTGTGCTATAGGTAAAAAAATAAAAAAAAATATATACATTTTTTGTTTTACTAAACTGTGTAAAAATAAGAAGAAAATGGATAATGATCACTGAAGGTGTTTTACAGTGGACTTGTACGGTGTGGTGGTTGGGGTGGGAAGATGTTTGCACCATCATGCCATTCCCTGTAGATAACATTTAACTCCAAAACACACCTCCAACATGCTTCATTTTCATTTCAGATTTTAAGTACAAGCTGCATTTTGACTGTAACAGAGCGGCCAGCACACACTCCAGGCCAGAATCATACTGAGATGCTCTGGGAGCAGCTTGACCTTAGGAAGGTCCAGTCAAGCCACTCCATCATGTGGGAAATGTTCCATTAACCACGGAAGGAAATCTAATCAGACAACCTTGAAAATATCCATTAAAATACTAATTTCTACCTCACAATGTCTCTATGTCTTATTCATTTGCTAAACTTCCTAGTCTGACTAGTTTAATGGAAAACACCCCCAACCTCTGGGTCTAGAGTATGACCAAATACTTTCCACTGGGGTGTAAACAGTCTTTGAACTCTATCTAGTCTTACCCATCAGGCCTGAGGTCGGGTATTGGCCGACTTAAAGAGAGACGATTGCTGAGGTAGGCATTATATCCGTAGTACTGGAACATCTTCAGCGCCACTCGCCGGTTGTCGGGACTGAGCTCCTGACCCCAGTGAGCGAACAGCGATGAGTCAGAGAATGATGTGTCCGGCTGGCCGTCTTCACCACGCCCCGGTGTCTCTAGGAGGCACAGGAAGACACAACATATGATTAGTTGTCCAGGTCACAGCATCATGACCTCCGGTGTAGCTCTACAGAGAGCATCTTTTAGTCTCTGCATAGGAATAATAATACTTATGATAGGGATGAATGCTGTACTAAGGGTTATTTAAAGACAGACTGTCCTCCACAGACGATCACCATGAGAAGCTCTCCTGGTTGTTTTTCTGTTGCACTGTTTAAAAGGGCTGGAACAGAGTAAGATAATAACTTTACAGTTTGATAAATTCTACATTTTTGTTTGTGTTTAAGACTCGGTTCATGTCCAGATTTCATAAAACACAGCTGGCATCTTGTAAACATTCTGTACTGCATCCAGGACACTTGGCTGCACTTTCAGCCAAACTCCTGCATTTAAAATTCAGGGCCATTTAATTTACGGCAAGTAGTTTAAATTCCAAAAAACAGAACATGAGGTGGATGAAATCTTCTCTAGAGGCAGGTGCGCAGATAGGTTGGAGGACGGGGGTGAGGGTTGGGACTGTCCCCCCCCAGATTCAGATTGACTCCGATCCCTCCCCTCCACTTATAAGGCCAGAAAGAAAACAAAACTGGAGGTTAAGCGCTTGAAGCTCCTTTTTCCAATTACACTGAATGCAGCATGACGTAAGCAAACACCGACTTCAGAGGCACCAAAGTGGTTGCTGCTAGAACGCAGGATGAAGCAACAATTATTGAGTTTTTAAAAAAGACCAACAGTGTAAGTAGGCTGGACTAATCTGTCTGTTTATGCATGTCGGGTCTAGTTTCAGTACATTGTTGTTGTCAGTGTTGGGACTTACTCGTTATAAGCGCCAAAGCCGCAATATTATGACAAGCGTCATCTTTGACTTGAACAAGTCACATCTACAAATATGATCCCTCATTGAGTTACTACTTTGCACCAGAAGATAGTGGAGATGTGTAACCTTCAGGCTGAGCAAAGTTTGGGAGTTTTGAGTTTGAAAAACGCCTCCCGCTGAGTCGGGGAGAGGTGGATATGAGCGCAGCATGACGAGGGCAAATATTAGCGGGATGAAACTTACAATTGCTGGCAGGTCTGGTCTTTGCTGACTGATCACTTTGTCTGGTCATGACCAACTCCGACTATGGAGCAGAATATTGACTCTGATGAACAAATTCACTCATCCAGCCAGAAAGATGGACGCTGCTGCAGCGCGCATCATCAGACAGCTGGTGCTGCATGAGAGATGTATGGAGTTTACAAGCTCCAAACGTTGGGTTTGATGTTTGTTTAGCCTTCTTTGGATGTGATGGATGTAGAAATTATGGTAAAAACACCGCAAACGTGACAGACGTAGAAACAATATTTTAAAAAAGCCGTTAAAAGGGACAGAGGCCGATGCGTTAGATATGGAAGTCAAAATGTGCCGCATAATCATAAAAATGAAAGTAAAATATAACATTCAAAACGAGCTTTATGTATATATAAATTAAAACTTTCCAAATATTATGAAAATTTTGAAATTATGTAAAAATAAGAAAGAACATCTGTTGGTCAGAGGCTGAAAAGTTTGGGAACCACTGCTAAGTGATAAGTGAATATTGTTTTTTATTATATTTAATGTGCAGTTTTTTTTACATAGGGCTTTTTATGTTTTCTGTAAAGATTGTAGGGCTGGGTGATATGGCCAAAAATCAATATCACGATATATTGAGGATTTTACCTCGATAACGATAAATGGACGGTAACTACAGGTATGCGCAGAAACAAAAGTTGTCCACTAGATGCGGCTGTCACGTGTATTACGTCAAGGTGATATAGCTTCTTAAAGGGACACGAACATTGCCAACCTACACACATCTATTCATTTTTTTATTATAAAATGTATTGACATGGGAAGAATGATCTTGATAAGGGTCAGACATTTTGATAACGATACATTTTTGATTTATTGCCCAGCCCTAAAAGATTAATATGCTGAAAATCAGTTAATGTTTAAATGAAACATGTTTCTCAAAGCATGAGGTTTTGGTTAGTAATTGATTGGGAGAATAACAAATGACTGATTTGGATAGTGTTGATCAGGCAGAGCGTTGTTGCCAGCGTTCCACTGCACAATGGCTTCAAACACGTATATAATAGTTATTTTGTAAACCATTGGATAAAATTACACAAACTGACTGAGCTCTAGTTAAGGCTCTTGCAATTGTTTGTGTATTTGTACGTACGTAGATAGATAGATAGATAGATAGATAGATAGATAGATAGATAGATAGATAGATAGATAGATAGATAGATAGATAGATAGATAGATAGATAGATAGATAGATGATAGATAGATAGATAGATAGATAGATAGATAGATAGATAGATAGATAGATAGATAGATAGATAGATAGATAGATAGATAGATAGATAGATAGATAGATGATAGATAGATAGATAGATAGATAGATAGATAGATAGATAGATAGATAGATAGATAGATAGATAGATGATAGATAGATAGATAGATAGATAGATAGATAGATAGATAGATAGATAGATAGATGATAGATGATAGATAGATAGATAGATAGATAGATAGATAGATAGATAGATAGATAGATAGATAGATAGATAGATGATAGGTGCGTGTGTGTGTGTGTGTGTGTGTGTGTGTGTGTGTGTGTGTGTGTGTGTGTGTGTGTGTGTGTGTGTGTTTGGGGGAGGGTACATTAGAACTTTGTCCCCCCAGTTTGAAAATCCTATCTGCGCCCTTGTCTAGAGGTATGCAGTAAAAGTTTCCTTGCTACACCAGCAGGATAATAATAGATCACCCTGAGAATCTACAAGTATCACTGAACTTCCTGCTTATTTCTCAGATTATAGAAGCAAATATTTAGACTTTCTGTCCTTGTTTAGGGCGTGTGCAACAGTCAAGTTTGGGTTTTAATTTTGTTTTATTTGTAACAAATAATGGTTGATGATAAAGAGTTTCATTCTGTAAGTAACATGTTCATTTGCCTCAAAACTGCCGTGTTGCCATCTCCTCAGAAAGGAAGGTAACTATTGGCTGTCATAAAAGCTACTTTCTGATGTCATCATCCAGTTTGCATGTATGACTGCGGCCTTGTGAAACGTCAACGTACGGACGATTGTATCAAGGTACACTCAAGAGTTCCCGGATGTGTTATTGCTCCGCCCACTGCATCGAGGATGCGTTGGATGCATCCTTCTGTGGACTTGAGCCAGCAAGTTATCCCATAATGCATTGCATTGCAGAGGAGATAGCTCATAACTGTAGTGTTTTATATCAGAAATAGAAATAAAGAAATTTAAAGTTGTCTGTTATTGAGAATAATTGTGTGTAAACTGTAAAATTTGCTCTGTGTATTTTTCAGACTTCAAGATCCTTCAAAATGCTAATTAGCTAACCCACAATCAAAATATAAGCAGCATTGTCTTAAATAGCTCTGTTTTGATAAGAAACTTTTTTCTTTATTTAACAGCAAGAAATGCTGGTATTTGATCAATTTTGATCAAAAGTGAACCAAATATTATACAAATAATATGTACTCATTGTTGTTATATACTTCTGCCAATGGTGACTTCATGCAAACAAAATTCATTTGCAGTTTAGACAATGAGGGGTACACATCTCCTGCACTGAGTGTAGCTGAGGAGGGCTGCTGCATGAAGACTGGGCCACCGTGACTGCTTTGGGATAGATGAGGGGCCAACGGCAGCTTGTTGGGAAAAAATTGTCTCCTAAAATCCCAGAAAACGCAAGAAAACACCAAGGGTTTTCTCAAGGCCAAGGAACCTTGCCTTGATGTCTTGGCCCCGCCCCGGTTGCCTAGGAGATATGTCATCGGGAGCCGCCAAGACGTGTTCCAATGTTCATGTTCTACCGAGGCATGTGTTGGTTTGTTAGCCCTTTTAGCTAGCTGAGCAAGGGCACACGGGAGGTGTCTTGTAGCCTAGCCTTGGTCAAAAATTACCCAGAATACACCACGGTATTTTCAAAAGGATGGCGGATCAGAAGCCGGCAGCTACTTCTGGGACAATTTTCAAGTTTAAAAGTAAGTCAACTAATTGAAAATGTTTTTTTAAGAGCCAAAGAAGTTATCTATTGTTGGTTATACAACAGTTAGTTCCGACCGAGTGATTTGATTGGTCAAGAGACTTTCCAAGAGTGCTGTTTACAAACAGTATCACTCCGCTGTGCACAGGCGTTCTAACAGTTATTGTAGAAAATTTTTGGGTTGCTTAGCAACAGCCTTGTCTGAGTTTCTTGTGTTGGGACTATTTGTGTTGGCGGAGCCTGATAAATTATTAAAGAAATGAAGAAATCATAATATGTTGTTGCTTATTGTTGCTATAAAAAATAAAATGAGCAGGTAGAACTGTTGTATAAAAGCAATATCACACTCGAGGTCATGCGTTGTTGCTGAATATCAGCACTGGTGTGATTATCAACGGCACTCGGCTTGTGGCCTCTTGCCTACGACCGAATCCCACCAGTGCTGATATTCAGCAACAACGCATGACCTCGAGTGTGATATTGCTTAATTAGATGCTTAGTAGTTGCAGCTTTGGTGGCTAGCAGGTAGTAACTCACATATATTTGATTGAATTACCATATTCATAATTTAAAAAGTAAAAGTCTCGTTATAAATTTATATTGAAACTAATGCTTATAAAATATAACGTTGTCTCCCGTGTCACGTGACATTACATGGCCGCCATGGAAGCCACGATCATGTGATGCAAGTCTGTTCCATTTTACCGTTTTCTTTGACCAAGGAAGGACAGTGTCCTCGTAAGCAAGGCGCCTGGCCTCACAAGACATCGCCTTGCAAGGCCAAGTGCCTTGACATTAAGAAACACCCTAAATTTGTTGCTGTTTGTCTGCATAAAAAGCTGTTAGAAGAGTCAAAGATATTGCCCAGTTGACAAAACCAAACAGATATTTAACAACTGTCTGAAACAATTTAATCCTTCACTACAGACAACGATGTGTCTCTAATCAAAT